GAAAACCTATCAGGTGGGGGGAAAGCAAAATCATAGAAGAGAACAGGCTTACTGTATGGTCCCCTTAGTCCCCTGCAAATCTGAAACTGAACCGACCCTGTATTAGAATAAGCAACCATTTATGATCAAAGATAGCATTTACCGGAAGACAAATACACAGAGTAAGGAAAGACGGGAGAAGGGAAACTGGAAACCCAGGCAGTGGGATAAGTGATGGTACACTGACAAGGGTTGCAATCGGTGAATTGAAACAAAATGTGTATAAATTTTTTAATGTAAAACTGATTATCTATTCTGTAAACCCTCACTTAATTCACAATAAAAAGTTTTTTTAAAACAAGAAAATAAATAAATACATTTTAAAAAAAGAAAAAGAAATCTGATTGTCCTAAGACTGTTTATAATGCAGGCTTTTAAATGCGTTAAAGTGCAAAATTGATCTAGTTTATGCCTCTATAGTCTATATACTTCCTTATCTATTACTCTACCTATACACAAATCTCCTTGGTCTCTTATTTAAGTCTTGAGGGTTACACCATGGTCAGCAATACTCCTGATATTATGTTACACAGAAGACTACTCCCCTAAAATGTATTATATTACCCCTATCCAGTAATAGTCAGGAGCCCTGGAGGCAGAGTGGTTATGACTTGGACTGCTAGCCATATGATCAGCAGTTCAAAACCAACAGCTACTCCATGAAGAAAGAGAAGGCTTTATACTTCCATGAAGAGTTAAACTCAAATGGGAAGTTCCAGTGGGAAGAGAATGCTTTGAAAATGATGATGGCAGCATATGTGCAAATGTGCTTGACACACTGGAGGAAGGTATGGATTGTGATAAGAGGTGTAAGAACCCCCAGTAAAAGTATTTAAGAAAAAAAAAGAGTTACAGTCTCTGAAACCCACAAGGGCAGGTTTTCCCTGCCCTATAGGGTCACAATAAGCTGTCATTGAGTGAACGGAAGTGAGTTTTGCATGAAATCCAGTAACAAATGAGACAGAGACCAAAAAGCGTTCCTAGACTTAACAATTCTGACACCAGGCAAGATTTTTGAAGGTCTACATCAACTGGGAGAGTATAGCACAATCTAAATAAACATTATATTGAACGTCTCTGTTCATGAGAACAATGTTCATGAAAAAAAATGTAGATTTTAAAAAAATTTCAGTATCTACCATTGAATTTTTTAAGGAAATTACAATATTTCCAAAAATGCAAACCATATTCAACTAAACCTATGAAGTATGGCTAAGTTTAAAACTGTACATTATTTGAAAAATAAAACAAAACACTGTACATTACTTGAAAGAAATTCCATCTGAAAGGGCACTTATAGAGGTCTAAATACATATGTAAATATATTTATATATAACAATAGGGAACTAGATCTATGTATATATATTTATTGGGCAGATGGACATTGGGTCTCTACTCAAGTACTCCTTCAATGCAAGAACACTTTGTCCTCATAACCTGGCATTCCGTGATGCTCACCTTCCCAACACAATAGTTGAAGACAAAACGGGCGCATAAGCAAATGTGGTGAAGAAAGCTGATGGTGCCCAGCTATCAAAAGGTATAGCATTTTGGGTCTTAAAGGCTTGAAGATAAGCAAATGGCCATCTACCTCAGAAGCAACAAAGCCCACATGGAAGAAGCACACCAGCCTGTGTGATCACGAGGTGTTGAAGGGATGAGGCATCAAAGAACAAAAAATCATATTTTTGTGACTGAGGGGGAGTGTGGAGTGGAGACCCAAAGTCCATCTGTAGGTAACTGGACATCCCCTGACAGAAGTGTCACAGGGAGGGGATGAGCCAGTCAGCATGCAGTGTAGCAACTATGAAACATACAACTTTCCTAGTTCTTAAATGCTTACCACACCCTCACTATCATGATCCCAATTCCACCTTACAAATCCAGCTAGACCAGAGGATGTACACTGGTACAGATAGGAACTGGAAACACAGGGAATCCAGGAAAGATGATCCCTTCAGGACCAGAGGTGAGAGCGGGGATACCAGGAGGGTGGAAGGAAGGTGGGGTAGAAAGGGGGAACTAATCACAAGGATCTACATATAACCCCGCTCCCTGGGGGACGGACAACAGAAAAGTTGGTGAAGAGAGACGTCAGACAGTACAAGACATGACAAAATAATAATAATTTATAAATTATCAAGGGTGAGGGAGAGAGGGCGGAAAAGTGAGGAGCTGATACTAAGGGCTCGAGTAGAAAGAAAACGTTTTGAAAATGATGATGGCAACAAAGGTACAAATGTGCTTGACACAATGGATGAATATATGGATTGTGATAAGAGTTGCCCAAGCCCCCAATAAAATGGATTAAAAAAAGAAGAAGAAATGCCATCTGAAATGAATGATTTTAAATTCTTCTGAATTCCAAGAAACAGCCCTGGTGGCTCAGTGAATAACCAAAAAGCTGATGGTGTGAACCCAGCAGCTGCGCAGCGGGAGCAAGATGTGGCAGTCTGCTCCTGTAGAGGAGCTACGTTGGAAACCCTCACTGTGATTCAGAACCAACTGGATGACAATGGGTAATTCCTGAGGAAATTGATCTCCCTACACCTTGGAAAATATCATGATCTTTTCTGGAATCTCACAAAGGGAAAGGTAATGGTTAACTTTGGGGCATTTTTAATACCTCACTGCAGCTGATTCTTTCAGACCAACTCTTATGATCTCTCTCATGAGATGTACAAGTATAGATGAATGCTAAGTACAAATATTTCTTAAAGGTTTAATCTAGCTTTGCTTTGATGCACTGAAATAAAAAGCGCTGTCTCTTACCCTTGTGGGATGTGAATGGTTAAGAGCTCAAATGCTAACAGAAAAGTTGGAAGTTCAAGTCCACCTAGAGGTGTCTTGAAAGACAGGACGAGCAATCTGCTTTCTAAACAGTCAGTCATTTGAAACCCTCTGTCGTTCTCCTGTGACACATCCGGGGTCCCAGGAGTCAGAATCAACTCCATGGGGACTGGTTTCTGGCTATCTTCTCCTTATCCTGCATCTTACCTTAGCTACCAAGGTAGTATTTTGAAAGGCCCTGGAAAGCCATCCCTGCTGCTCACCAATGCTCAAACGCACCTTCACCACACATCAAAATGAGGGAGAATGGTTGAACGTTGCGAAATGCCTAAGCCAGCCTGGCCAGAGGAGATACTGAAGCAGCCCTACAAGCAGCATGAAGAAAAGCCAGCAATCTCTCACATGGGAACAGAGCATGCTCCCAGACAGAGCTGGCTCACCATGAGGGAAGAAAGACCCGCCTCTCACCTGCATTTCATCTTGTCCCTAGGTCGCAACAAAGTATCTAGCAGAGATGTAGAAAGTGCCATCCGAGAGAAGGTGGTGTCGGAATTGGTGAAGGACTGGAGAATAGAGACCCGTCTGACTGTCCTTGGACTGAGGGTGAGTTTGAGTTTCCTTCCCCCTCGTGATGTCCAAAGAGGTCAGGCACCATTATTACTCTATCTATTGTAAAGTCTATATCTAATTTCATTCACTGAAGTTCTCCCAACTTACATGCGAATTTGAGTATTTGTAAATGTTAAGATTGTTTTGATAAACTTCATAATAAGTATTTTATAATAAATTATTTCCTTTAGAATAAATTATTTCCTGATTCTAGAAACAGATATTTTATATGAAAGAGTATGAGGATTTTAAGCATCTTGTTATATATTCCCTAGTTGCTCCCCAAAGGAGTTTATCACTTGAAATTTCCATTAAACATGTGAGGAAGTACTAATGTTTACACAATCTCACCAGCATTGAGTATTATCATTAGAAAATAATTTTTTTTTAAAAGAAAAGAAAAGAATAATCTGGTCTTTAAATGCTCAGCTAATTCACAATAAGAAGTATTTAAATAAGTAAAAGAATGCTTTTTTTTTAAGAAATTGATTATCTATTCTAAGCTGGAAAACATGTCCCGGGGCTCAGGGGCATAAAGATCATTAACTTTTCAGGCATCAGAACCACCTGGAAGGCTTGTTAAGACGTAAAGTGTTAGTTCCTACCTCCAAAGTGTCTGACTTAGTAGCTCTAAGTCAGCGGCTCTCCGCCTTCCTCATGCCTCCACCCTTTCATACAGCTCCTCATGCTGTGGGGACCCCCAACCATAGCATTATTTTCATGGCTACTTCATCACTGTCATTTTGCTACTGTTATGAATCAGGCGACCCCTGTGAAAGGGTGGTTCGACCCCCAAAGGGGTAGCGACTCACATGTTGAGAACTGCTGGCCTAGGGCCTAGAAGGAAAGATGCCCAGAGGGCTTCCTAAAGCGACAATCCACTGCCACTGATTCCAACGCCTGCCTAACAACCCGACAGATAGCACAGAGAACTGCTACTTCGGGGTTCTCGGACTGTGTATCTTTATCCTGGGGAATGCTTGTGGGTTTAAACCACCGATCTTGTGGTTTGCAGTCACCACCAGAACAGGTTAGCACCACCAGAACTGCTTATAGCAGTGGTTCTCAACCTTTCCAAGGCCAAGACCCTTTAAGACAGCTCCTCATGTTGCGGTGACCCCCCCCCCAACCATAAATTTATTTCCGTTGCTACTTCATCACTGTAATTTTAATACTGTTATGAATCGTGCGACCCCTGTGAAAGGATCGTTCGACCCCCAAAGGGTCATGACCCACAGGTTGAGAACCACTGGTTTAAGTGGAGCCTAGAAATATGCATTCCTAACAAGTTCCCAAATGAGGCCAAAGCTGCTGGCCCAGGGACCACACATTGTGAACCACACGGGAGACTTTTACACACAAAATCACAGGGTCCTCATGCCTGAACTAACCAAGTGGAATCTTTATAGTAAATGGGGCCTGGGAGGGTCTGTTAATTTGTTAAATTTCTTATTAGCTCTTGATGATCATTAAGTTTGGAGTTCTACTGACCCAAAGTACCCAGCAGGTAAGCATTTGGTATGTGTTTCAGAAATCAAGATGTTGTTTGTTTGGTTTTATCCCAGGGTAGAGCACGAACACAGTCCCCCACGACCACACATTATGCGGTCAGGTTTCCCACATTTGGGGAAATGGCAGGGGTCAGCGCATCCGGGGTGCAATGGGTGGGCCTCGCCCTGGGAAAACCACCTTCGTGATCATGGCATCTCCCCTGCCAGGTAAGTATAAGATGTTTAATAAAGCTTGAACTAATGGACTGATTTAGACCTGAGAGTACTTTTAACAATGAAATCCTTTTGTAAGCAAATTTTTCATTTTATTTGTGATATTTCAAAGGAGTTCTCATGATTCTAATAGACTCATAAAAATCTCTAGCAGAACCACGTAAATCACCCAAATACATCCATGGCAATGGCATGCATAATTTGTAAATGCCCAAGTGGAGCTCTCTTGAGACTCTCAGACTGTGGGCTTTAGAAGCAGTTGTCGTCTATCAGAATATCCTAGCAGTGTAGCCAAATTGAAGGCTCAATACGTTTTTCTGAAATTCAATAGGTTACATTTTCTCAGCCTATTCTCTTTTTTAATATTTTCACAAACTCATTTTCAGGATTAAAAATACAGTTTTCTTGTTAATTGTTGAATTATTCAACACCGATTGAAAGTAGAGCAATGTTGTTGTTCTTATTGTTTTTAAGAATTTTCTTGAATGAGAAACAGGGGTGGCAACCATAAATTAAGGACTGGATAGTATGAATCCAGACAGTGCAATTTCATCTTTTCTTCATTTCTGTAATGCCCTCTTTTGGTTCTGGATCAAAGTTCTTGCTAATAAAAGTAAAAAGTCTTTCCAAAATGAAGTGGCCCATGGAGCTTTGTTCCATGAGACCTGGGAGCGCCAATGTTGTGGTGAATTTAAGCTTCGAATGCTTTCTGTTGTTTCAGTGCTGCCTCTCCCTCCCTCGGCTCCACTATGTCTTTAGGAGAGGCCTGCAGCCGTTCTCAACCAAAGTCAAACAGGCCCTTGGACCCTACAATACCCATTTTATAGAATTCATTAGCTCTCTACTGCCCTCTCTCTCGGAGTCCTGGAGGCCCAGCGGTTTTAAGCATTGTTCTGTTAGCTCAAGGTCAGTGGTTCAGCCTCTCTGCAAGAGAAAGATAAAGTCTTTCATTCCCATAAAGATTGAAAGTCTAGTAAACCCTATGGAACAGTTCTACTCTGTCCTATGAGGTCGCTGAGTTAGAATTAAATCAGTGGCAGTGGATTTTCCCCAAACATGATACACTCTAGGTTTACTGTCCTGAGAGAATTGAGAAGCAGTCTCTCAGGTCGTGTTGTGGCTTCTGAGGTTCAAGTGAGGAACAGCTACTGAGAAGGACTGCAGTCTGCCTGTATCCTTAACCTTTTGTTAATCTTTTCAACAGTGTTAACCTTTTCAACCTCCTTCCTCTGAGGACCAGCCTTTCCTCCCCTCCTCCCCTCTCCCCCATTCTCTCACACCTGTTTTTCAAGTTCTCACATCTCTGTTTCTCATGCTTTGTGAAATTTTCCCCTTTCTTTAGGGTCATAGCAACTCATTATTTTGAATTGTCTTCTTCTGAAGGCCTCTTTCGACAGACTTCTGAAATTCAATTCATTTTTTACTTTTTATAATGCTAATCATTTTGCATGATTTTAATGTTGTTTGATACACACACACACATATATATAACACCTGGTTTACTTAGGTAAGCATACAATTGTATGTAGTTCCTTTTATTATTAGCTATCATGAATCTCACTCCTCAAATCCAGGTCCCTAAGAAGTATAACTTATTCTCTGTAACAGGGGAATTTTGGATGCCCAAGCCTTCAATTCATGGAGCCGTGGTGACTGTGGGTTAAGTGATGGGTTGCTAACCATAAGGTTGGTGGTTCAAACAAAATGAGTCCCGAGGCTTACCTTTTTTGTTTTCAAATCATTTTATTGGGGACTCATAAAACTCTTATCATAATCCATACATATATCCATGTGTCAAGCACATTTGTACATTTGTTGCCTGCATCATTCTCAAAACATTTGCTTTCTACTTGAGCCCTTGGTATCAGCTCCTCATTTTCCCCCTCCATCTCCCACCCTCCCTCCCTCCCCAACCCTTGAAAATTTATAAATTTTTTTTTCATGTCTTACACTGTTCGATCTCCTCATTTTCCCCCTCCCTCTCCCACCCTCCCTCCCTCACAAACCCTTGATAATTTATAAATGATTATTACTTTCTTTATTCTTTTTTCTTATTATTATTATATGTCAATCCTTGTGACTAGCTCTCCCATTCTCCCCCACCTTCCCCTTATAAATGATTATTATTTTCTTTATTCTTTATTATTATTATATTATATGTCGATCCTTGTGACCAGCTCCCCCTTTCTCCCCCACCTTCCCCTTACTCTCCTGGTATCGCTGCTCTCATTATTGGTCCTGAGGGGTTTATTGCTCTTGAATTCCCTGTGTTTCCAGTTCTTATCTGTACTAGTGTAC